ACATTGTTGAGTAGTGGAGCGACATTGAACAAAATGAAGCATCAAGATGGTCGGTTCCAGCAGGGTCCCAGGAGAAGCTGGAGGGCCTGCATTTGAGAATGTAGACTTTTTGATGCTCAGGAGGAAGGATGGAAGTCCAACATTTATTGCACATGGACTGTGTGCCAGATCCTGTTCTAAGCACATCGTGTGTGTCAAGGTATTTTCCCCAAAATAGTCTGAGCTAGGTCCTGCCTTACTGCCATTTGCAGAAGAAAAGGCAGAGATTCAGAGATGTTAGGAAATTGCAAAAGGTCCTACAGGTAGCAAACAGAGCAGGGGCTCAAACCCAGAGCAATGTACCACCAGGGTCCCTGTTCTGGTCTTCCATGAAACAGCCCTGTCGTTAGTTTCCTGTTGCTGACGGAACACATTTCCATGAACTGAGAGGCTTAAAACAACACACCTTTCTGTTCTCCCAGTTCTGGGGGAGTCAGAACTCCAGGAAGAGTCTTATGCCACGGTGTCAGCAGGGCTGGCTCCCTCTGCGGGCTCCAGGGAAGGATCTGCCTGCTCTTCACCTCCTCGTCTCCTGAGGATGCCTGAATTCCTTGACTTGACTCAAATCTCTGCTTCCTTCATCAGTCGAATTACTTAGCTTTTTGTTGCTGTTAGTGGATATCTGAGGATAATGACTGAAAAGAGGGAAGGCTTACTGTGGCTCACAATTTCAGAGGTTTCAGACCAAGGTCAGCTGGCTCCATTGCTTTAGGCCCATGGTGAGGCAGGAATATGGCGGAAGGGTGTGGCAGAGGGAAGCTGCTCACCTCACAGAAGCCAGAAACCAAGGGAGAAGAAGGGGCAGGAGACCATATATAGTCCCCAAGGTCATGCCCTCCCATCCACTCTCCTCAGCTAGGGCCTGCCTCCTGTTTCTGTCACCTCAAAATAATGCCATCAAATTATGATCTCATGAGTGGATCAATCCACTTGATGAAGTCAGAGCCCTCATGTTCCAATCACTTCCCCAAAAGCCTATCAGCTGGAAAACCAAGCCTTTAGCACAGGAGTTTGGGGGACATTTCAAATCTAAACCATAACATCACTGTACCACCTTCTCCCTCCTCTGAGCTGTGATGACCCTGGGCTCAGTGGCACGATCCAGGTCACTTCTCCATCTCCGGACCTGTGATCTGGTCACAAGTGCAAGGTCCCCCCTCTTTCACCATGGGAGATGACATACTCTCAGGTGCCAGGGATCAGGACGAGGGCGTTTGGAGGACCTGTGTTCTGCCAGTCACAGCCCTCCAGCTGACTATCTTCTCTTTTGGCTACTGACATCTTCAGGACATGTTCATTCCCTATGACTCAGAAACGTCTCTCATCCAAAGTGGGGGCCTCCAGCAGGCAGTCTCTGTGACAGTCTCTGCTCACCAGCCTCTGCCTGGCGTGGAGAAGGTGCCCAGTACATGGCTGTTGAGTATCGAATGAAACAGAGATGTCCATGACTTGCCCAAGGCCACAGTGGTGATCATTCCCACTTAGCCTGTGTGTCCTCAGAGGAAGTCCAACACAGGCACAGTTTGGGCTTGCAGAGCATCCTTCATGTCACAGAAAGCATGTTGGGCTTCCTTGGCTTGGGTGCCCCTGTGACCCTAGTTTGGCCATCTGATGACCAGGGAGATCCAGGAGACCATTTAAGTTTTAACTAGAGCATTAGGGATTTATGAGCACTAAGGACCAATCAAAAACAGATCCCAAAGAGCTGGGGAATTAGGATATAAACTTCTATGGTAGGAGTGGTTGATACAGAGACAGGGTAGTGGCAGAGCCAAAAGCAGCTGGCATCTCTTGGGGCAATGTCTCCTCTTTTGCAGGGGGAGAGAGAGAGGGATGGGAGGGGCAGCACTCCCCATACACACACTGGGACAGACATTGCTAATCAATTGCTGTGCTCCTTCCAGCCAGGTCGGAAAGTGGCATCAGACTCCTTAAACACAAAACTCCAGCCATCTAGAACCAATTCGCTGGAACTGGGCTTTAAGGAGAAAGTGAAGTCCTCCACTTGGACCCCGCAGAGGTTCCAAGGGTATGGACAGGTTTCCTTCCCTGCTATGAACAGGCCCACCTCTCTCTCAAGAACCTGTATCTCTGTCAGGCTTTAGGGCTTGAAAATCCTATTTAAAACCAAAGCAAAGCTGGGCATGGTGGCACATGTCTGTAATTCCAGCACTTGGGAGGCTGAGGCGGGAGGACTGCAAGTTTGAGCCAAGCCTGGGCAACGTAGGGACTTCATTAGACCTTGTGTGGAATGAAAAAGTGGTGGGAATGTAGCTCAGCATGAAGACCCTGGATTCAATCTCCAGTACTACAGGGCCGGGTGTGTTGGGGGGAACAAAAGGAAAAAAACATGCTTTGCACTCCAAGGATGAAAAATCCAAACTTCAGACACTAGCCACGGGGTACCAAAGGACAGTGACTTCCCATTGGCTGGCAGTGCCCCACAGAGGGTCGCAGGCTGGTAGCAGGCTGTGTGTTCCCACCTCCATCTCAGGGTGGGGGGCTCACTGGCTAGGAGCCTAGGCAGATGTGGCTGCAGCTGACCAAACCCAAGCTCCGTGCAGCCTCAGGTTGCCCGGGAGGCCTGAGGTGGCTGTGCTGGTTGCAGGGTGGGGTCTCCTGGTTCATCAGAGCTGGCTTCTCCCAGCGCCCTGCCAGGATCCTGGGTGTGCTTGGCACTGCCCCCATCTTCCTCCTTTCCCTCCGTCCCCAGCAGACAAGGACACTGTGGCTCAGGAGGGTGAAGGGATTTGCCCAGGTCGCACAGCAGACGGTGGCAGAGACAGACTCAAGCCAGGTCTGGTAACAAAGCCTCCATTCCTTGCTGCTGTCTGGCCCCGGTCACATGTTGAAGAGTGTTTTCATGTGGCCCTGGTGGAATGGTTACAGCATCGCTGAGCACTTGTGTGCGTGAGCACAGAGCCCCCGACAGGCTCCTGAGACACAGATGACAGGCACCACCCCCAGGGCCTCTGGATGAACAAACTGCTGGGGAGGCCTGCCACTAACTGCTGGGCGATCTGGGGTGAGTCCCTGCCTTCTCTGGGCCCAGTGTGCCAATCTGTACAGCAAGGGCTAAGATGCTTAGACTCCTGGTCAACCCAGCAGAGGTGAGAGGAGAGATTTGTAGCTGGGTCTGATTTCTAACTCGAGGGAGCTGGGTGAGATGGGGCAAATGGCTTCACCTCTTGGTACTTCTGGTTATTTTCTGTGAAATGGAAGAGTTAGAGCAGGTGGTTTCTAAGTGTTAGTCTCCCCAAAGTAAGGGTTGGGGGTGGTGGGAGAGGAAGGTGGGTTCTAAGGTGGCTCAGGTTATGGTTTAAAGATACTCCCCAAGTTCATGTGTTGGAAACTCGGTCCCCAGTGCTATGGTGTCTGAGCGGTAACTTGTCATGCGTCACTGTCCCAGGAGCGAGGGGGCGATTGCAAGAGTTGCTTCTCTCGCAAGGCTGCTTGGCCCCTTCCTGTCTCTGTTCTCTTGCCTTCTGCTTCCCCCAGTGGGACCACGCACCAGGGAGCCCCTCACTGGGTCCTGGAATCTTGCTCTTGAACTTCCCAGCCTCTACACAGTGAGCTGAATACTTCTGTAGTTTATAAATTACCCAGCCTCTGGGATTCTGTTACAGCAGCAGAAAACAGGGAGACAGATGAGGAGGGACACAAGCCCCCAACCGCCTGCTCCTGCCTCAGAATGAAGCCCAGAACCAAGCGCCTCCCAGCTTCCCTTCCTCTCCGCCCCTCCCTCCTCCCTTCCTCTGCTCCCTCTCCTCCCCTGCCCTTTCCCGCCCCCTCTCCTGGCCTCTACTCCCCTCCCTCCTGTACCTGCTTCTCTTCCACTCTTTTCCTGCTCCTTTTTTCCCCCTACCCTGCCTCCCTCCTTCCCCGCCTCTTTTTTCCTCTGTAAATGTTATTCTAGGTGATCTTGTTTTGCTGGAATGTTATTCTAGGCGTGGGAATCAGACAGCCCTCGGTCCAATCATGATTGGCCTGAGCTGGGCGCCCTGGGCACTGCAGTCTGTGGCCTCAGCATCTTCGTCTGTAAAATGGGCTGGGGACACCTCCAGTGTTGGCGGTGGCTCATGGGACTTTCTCCACAGTAGCACCCCAAGGTCACTGCTGCTAGTTCTTCGGTCTGAGGGACGAGGGCCAGGCTCTGGGGTCAGCCAGCCTGGTTGGAATCCCAGCTCTGCCATCTGATAGCTGTGTGGTTTAGACAAAAGGCTTAACCTTTCTGTACCTCCATTTCCTTATTGGGAAAATGGGGGTAGTGATATTACCTCCTGGCTGGGGTTCCCATGAGGGTATAGCCAGTGCCCAGCACCTTGAGGGGCTTAGCTGTTTTGGGTGGCCCATGGATGGGAGTGAAGACACAGGAATCGGGTACCAGATGTGCAGTGGGGCTAGGGTAGCGGACGGAGACTCCCCCCGGGAGTCCCAATCCGAGGCAGGGACCCCTCAGTGGCAAGGACAAAGTGGTGCAGTGCTGGTGGTGATGGGGTGAGGCTAGGGCCCATGAGAGCCCAGGGCAGCCCCCGTGGGTCAGGGAAGGCTTCCTGGGCCGAGGAGGTGGCCTCTGAGAGGGAAGAGGGAGCTGGAGACCCCTGGCCACAGCCAGGGGGAGGAATGACAGTCACCAAACCTGGAGATGGGGTGGGGTTGGGGGGAGACAGCCAGGCCCTGCTTCCCAGGCAGCTGGAGAGTCTGGGGCTCCTGCCCCTTGAGGGGACCCACACACCTCCCAGAGCAGGGCCGCATGTGGTCCTGGTTTGTACCCAGACAGCGGGCGCAGCTCACTCTGTGCTAGGCAGCTGAAGGAGGGGCGGGCTGTCTTCAGCGGCCACCGCCACCCACAGCCCAGTCCCCCGCTGGCTGGCAGGCCGGCCTCCCCTGGCAGCCCCCACTCCCGAAGCTGGCGCCCCCGCCCTCACAGGCAGCCCCGTTTCCTGCTCCTCCCTCCCTCCTCCCTCCAGCTGTTTCTCTGGCTGAGCCCTGTCCCTGTCCCATTCAGTCCTGACAGGGAGCGGGCTCAGGACAGGGGCATCAGGAAGCCTCCTGGTGAGGGGGGAGAGCGCTGCAGGGGGCTGGGCTCTGGGGCTCTGAGGGCATCTTCCACGGACTGACTGAAAGTACTGCTTCTGGGCAAAAGCCACTGCCAGAGGAAGCGTGTGACGCTCGTCTCCTGAACAGCTTGGAGCGGCCCGAAGCCACGGGAGCCCTCCGAAGACCAGAGGGAGACCAGCGAGGAGAAGAAGGTATCGCTGGGCTCCGGCAGCTTCCAGAGGGGCAGGGAAGGGGAGTGGTAGGAGAGAGCGAAGTTCCGCTCTACTTATAACTTAGTATTTTCCAAAAGGAAAGTTTTCTGCTAGTTTCGGATTTCAGAAATTATGTATGTTACTGGTAAAAAAAAAACAACCCAAAAAATCCCAGTAGGGACATCTATAAGAATGTAAGTGCAGATGCACACACTGCACAATTTTCCAACACCTAGCTGGCAAACCCACTTCATCCTTGGCCACAGTCTGTGAACTTCCTTCCGTATCATCAATATTCTTCCAATGTGCACTTTAATGGCTACATAGAAACGATGCCTTGGAATTCATTTAACTCTTTTCTCCTGTGTTTGGTTCCATTTTCTTCCCTATTATTATAAACAGGGCTGCAGTGATCTATCTAGCATGGTGTCTTTGTGTGGGGATCCTATGAGTCCTTTTGTAGAGGTAAAATGATTGGGTATTTGTACCACATTGTCACCCGGCAGGTTGTGGCAGCTGACACCCTTGTGGTGCTCTGTTGGGCTGCGATATTCTCACAGACTTATCCACTTCCTCAGGAGCTGTGTTGATGATCTGGATGCTTCAATTTGCATGTCCTTATTAATGAATGTTCATCATCTCTAATCAGTTCATCATTCACTTTTCTTCTATAATTATCCTATTTAAGTCTGTTCCCACTCCCCCCCCACCACATTTATCATTCATTTTCTTATCGATAGATAGGAGTTCTTTGCACATGAAGGATAGGAACCCTTTGCCAGTACTCCCTATTGAAAATATTCCACTTACCCCCTTTGCCTTCATATTGGTGTATTTTAAATGAAGAAGCCACAGACATAAACTTTTAGCCAAATTACAAATAAATAGCAAGTCTCAATGATCAAGTAGCTACCACTGTAAGCCAGATCTTGCATGTGGGGTCACATAGTGAGGAAGCAGCTAAGGAAGTCCAGTGTGTGTCCTAGGGGTCCCATTCCCCTTTCTGCAGCTCCTGCTCCCTTCCTCAAACCTGTCTTCTCTGTGGTTCATGCTGTCTCACCGGCCCTCTAGCTGCTCCTAAGGATCATCTCTTCTCCATGCCTCTGCAGATAAGGTGCTGGCCCTGGCCTATCCAGGCTTCTGGGGCAGGCAGGGGTGGCCCAGAATTTCCTGAAAGAAGGAGGCTTAACTCAAACTGGCCACACTCAGGTGATAAGGAGTTAGGCACTTGGGGAGTTCACGGGAAGAGTTATCTCTGGGTGCACAGGGGCCTGCTCCGGGCTCTCCCAAAGGCTTTACTTACTTAATTGAAGTACTGAGAATTGATCCCAGGGCCTTTGCACCAACCTACATCCTGAGCTCTGTTTTACTTTTTTATTCTGAGACAGGCTCTCTCTAGCCACTGAGTTGTCCAGGCTGGGCTTGAATTTGTGATTCTCCTGCCTCAGCCTCCCAGAATGCTGGGATTGCAAGCAAGTCTCCCAAAACTTTAAGGAATAGATAAACTTGACTTTGGGCCCCCGTTTGGCTTGACCCCTTCTGAGAAGTCTCTTGCTTCCATCAGATCTGTCTACTAGATTTCCTCAGGGCCTGGCCTTTCCTCATCAAGGTTCTGCACACACTGCCTTGTGCAGCTGGTCATCATGTTGGTCTCTCCTGCGAGAGGCCAGGCATCTCAGGTGACTCTCTGCCTCCCAGTCCCTTACATGAGAACTAACATAGATCAGGCATGGAACAGTTAATATCAATAGAATAACAAAGCTTCAATTTCATCCTCTGTAAATTGGGGTGGGAGAGTTGGACTCAAGTCCTGTCTCTTAGATGCTTACTTACTAACGCCTCTCAGTTTGCAAAGCCTTGTACTGAGATGCTTTCCGTGACTCTTCACCATGGTTATGGGATAAAGGTCCTAGTAATGCACCTGTGTTGCAGATGAGGAAACTGAGGTCAGGAGAGATTCTGAGCTTAGACCACCGGGAAGCACCATGGGGCGCTGTGGCTACAGGGGTCAGATTGAACTTGTGTGGCACCCGACAACGGAGTGACATGGGACAAGTTATTGCTTATCTCTCTCTTTTTTTTGCTTAAATTCTTTTATTGGTACATTTTAGGTATACAATACGTTTATATTTATCATTGGGTGCTTGTACCTGATGTATCTTGGTTCTTATTTTTTCCCCATTACCTGTGCGCCCTTCCCTATTTACATAGACTTTGTTTCTATTTATTCTTTTCTCATAATTTTTCCTTTCCCTTCTTTCCTTTCCCCTTTCCCTCCCACTTCACCTACCCCTTTGAACCTTTTCTTTCTATTTCAAATTATCAATTATTCATTTTAATCCTTATTTACACTTTCAGTTTCTCACACTAGAGGAACTATTCGGTATTTACACATGTGTCCTATTTATTTCACTTTAGATTATGGCCACAATATGCATCCATTTAGCTATAAATGTCTCTAGTTTCTCATTCTTTATGGCTGAGTAGTACTCCATTTTATAAAAAAACCCCACATCTTCTTTATCCAGTTTCCAGTTGATGGACACTTGGGCTGTTTCCAAGCTTTAGCTATTATGAACTGTGTTGCTATAAACATGGGTGCACATATATCACTGTGGTATGATTCTTTTAATTCTTTTGGGAAGATACCCGGCATATTCCTTATCTCTTTACCTCAGTCTCTTCATCACTAATATGGAATTATGAATAGTAACTACCTTGAAAGATTATCATAAAGATTAAATGTTGTAAAGCAATTAGCAGAGGTTGGTCATGTAGTAAGGCAGTGATAAATATTAGTTTTTATTATCATGATCTCTTTCTTTTCTTCTTGTTGTTGTTGTTGTTGTTATTATTATTCTTTTTGTGGTACTGAGCTACATTCCCATCCCTTTTAATTTAAAAACATTTTTTAAAATTTTGAGCAAGGTCTCATGAAGTTGCTAAGTTGCCCTGTCTGGGCTGGAACTTGTGATTCTCCTGCCTTAGCCTCCCAGAGTGCTGGGATTCCAGGGGTGTGACATCTGGACACTAAGCCTTGGTTATCTTGGTCATTTTTATATCGCCACATTGTCTATACCTGGGACATCCACCTGAACCAAACATAAGTCAATATGAATTTCTTTACCATTTGGTGGAAGGAAACTAAAAGCTTGCTTCATTCTCTTTGATCTACACCACCTGGGTGCAGCCATTGCTGCCGGCTGCAAGCTATGAAATAGACTCACCTTCTCAGAGTGCAACTCTAGTTCATTTGGATCAGAATGATCTTGGGTGCTTGTTTCAAAGCTTTTGATCTTGGAATTGGAATCTCTTCAGGTGAAGCTTGGTGTCTGCCTGTGAGCCAGCTCCCTAGGGAAGCTGATGCACCCCAGAACTTGAGAACCACCAATCTAGAATTCAAATATCTTTTCTTTTTTGTTCTTTGTTCAGGTTTCTGGGTCCTTTCCTGTGCATTGAAGTTTATTTTTCCTTTCTAAGCAAATATCCATGCCCTTCTGGGAAGCCACATGTTCTGTGTCAGCAGCCGAGGCCAGGAAGCCTGGCAGAGAAGTGAAACTTTGTTTTATTTGTACTTTTACTGTGGAAAGTCAGGCCACAGTGGCTATTCCCCCACAGTGGGGGCTTGGGAACTATTGTAAGCCACATACTCCTCTTGTCAAATAAAGTAGATGGTGAAATGCAATTTGACAGACAAAAGTGGTGCTATGCTCAGTAAAAAGAAGTGGAAGCTCCAGGCTCCAGCTCCGTACGGCTTCTTATGATTATTTAAGGGCCTCTAGGTATCTTTAGAGCTCTGTGGGGTGGGCTGGAAACAGCAAATCTACTGTAAGGAGTTAAGAGATCAGATTGCAAGACCTTCGTTGGGCTCATATGATCTGGCCATAGTCATATCATCTATAAATGAGGAGGTTGTGTGTTGTATTAGTTAGTTAGGGTGAGCTGCCAAACAAATAGGCCCATGTATGTATAATGGCTCAAACATGACAGATGTTTATTATATGACAAGTGCTCTCTTTTTTCTTCTCTCTCTCTTCTTTTTTTGAGATAGGGTTTTGTTCTGTTGCCCAGGATGATCTTTAACTTCCAAGTTCAAGTGATCCTCCTGCTTCAGATAACAGGTGTGCATGCAGGTGTTTCTGAATGGAGGGTGGTCCTCTTCCTTGCAGTACTTCCGTGACTCAGCTGGTGGCCACACAGTCTCTGTGGATATGATCATTGTCTGATGGCAGATGAGATGCCACGTTTGCACCATAACTGCCCTGGCTGAGAAGTCACATGAATCCCTCCTACTCAAGTGAGAACTGCTCCTGTGACCAATCTAGTGGAGAGGAGGCTGGGGTGTGGAGCTCTTGGCGAGGATGGCCCCTTCCTAGCTACAGAGGTGTCCATATTCTTGGAGAGTGGATCTTTGTGAACAGTAAGCTGTCTCTACCACGGATATGAACTCATGCCTCTCTTCCATTCTTTAGCCCAAATTTCTGGTAGCCAGTCTTAAAGGTAGCAGGACGATGCTGGACCCTCCTGATGCTTCCCATCCTGAAGGCTATCCCCACCCACAGTACTGAGTAAAATCCCAGGCTCAGGTTCCTAAACACAGATCTTCCTGGAATGTGGGCAACAGCCATTCTGTTTCCCTTCTGGAAAAAGAAAATAAGAATCACACTTCTACTGAATGCATGACATTGATGGGGTGGAAGGTTTTCTTAGCCATCACCTCATTGGATCCTTCTAGGACTCTGTATGGAAAGACTTCAGGACTTTCACCAGTGCTTTGGAGATGAGGAAAACAAGGCTCAGAGAGGTGAAGGGTCTTGGTCAAGGTCACATGACTCACAAGCAGAAGAACTGTGATGTGAGTTCCGAAAATCCTACTCCTGTCCTAGGGTCCCAGTGCCCAGTGTAGTGTTCATCAGTGTGTGTGTGCGTGTGTGCGTGCATGATTAGGGCAGTGATTTTCCTCAGGCTGGACTTCCCCAGAGCTGGGCATAATAAAGGAA